AAAAAGAGTTGCTGAATGTCGCTCCTTCTGGCGAAATCCTCATCAATTTCTTCCTTTGAAAGGATCAAAAAAGTTGAACTATTGAGTATGAGGACCTCATGCCAATGTGAAACGCTCATAAGGACACTGAAAACCCTTCCAACTGAACACGCGATGGTCCCCTTTACTTTTATGAAACATGGAGGGCTTTCAGAATGCTCTCAGAATCGCTGCTTTCCGATGTTTTCATTCGTAGGATGCTGTGAAATTTCTCTGATGGGAATACACGGAAGCACTGCGTATTTGACTTCCACTGTACAGGCTGAGTACAGGGCAAGCCCCGGGATGAAGTGGATGAGCAATAGCATTAAATGGTGACATTGGGGGTGGAGAGTAATCTTAAAAAGAATACAGAATAAAAATGGATTTGACACCAATCTTTACAATTTACTTCATTACAATAGACTGTTCGTGCATTACCACATTACCCCTCCATAACGTATTAAAAACACTACCCAGAACTTTATGAGAGCAAATAAATTGTTACCGAACGTTTTACCGGAGGAAATCAAACCCTGAGAAAGCAGTGGCTGCACAAAAGAGCTAATCACGACAAACCTCAGGTGCGGATGCTCATATCGTGCTGCGAGATGCGGAATGTCCACTACCAAAGCCGAGTGAGACGGAGAGCTGTGGAGCTGTTGAGTGTCCTGCTAGCTGGATTGTACGTTTCCCTTCATTATGTTACTATCTTGAAACAGTTCCTCATTTCATGTCATTCTTCATCTCAGACTGGTGAATGGACAGAATGTTCTGCATCGTGTGGTTCTGGAGAGCAGAAACGAACTGTGGTATGTGAAGGACGAGATGCCTCGCGGTCGACGAGAACGACGTCCCGAAAAGGAATGCGGTAGCGCCGGAAAGCCGCCTGCTGTGCAGATGTGTAGTCTAGGTAGCTTAACTGAGCCTTTTCTTGGTATTCCAGTCTTTACGAGGCATTCGACATTTCCAGGAAACTGCGGCAAACCTCAGCTGCTGACGAATCGTGTTTTTGAGCAGAACGCCTCCGAGAAGAAGCTCACATTAGGTATTGGTGGAGTAGCAACGCTCTATCAAGGTAAGGTGTCATGCTACTTGAAAATGAGGCCTAAAATCTGCGCTCGCCTGCTAATCCACTTGGAATGAAGCCTTAAAAGTCTTACTGCTGGCCTTCAGTTTTCGGGGGTAAATTTTGATGAGATGTGGTGAAAGAAATAAATAAGGTTCCCGTGGCATTAGGCAGTACTACGTTTCCTCATACTGATGGGGAGTGTGTGAGGCCCTAGGAGCCCTGAATTACGAGCACTCGGCATATTCGAACCCAATACATTTGCTAGTTGGTGTTAGAACAGCGTGCATTTTTAGCAGGAATGGTATGGAATGCTTGGTGGTGTAGGTATGATGCGCAGGGATCCACAAGGCTACAAAGTGCTGGGACACATGTTCGTTAGGGGTGACACTGAAGTATATGAACTTTTAAACTCGATTGGACTGGCTGTTACGAAGGGGAGGGACGTTTGGGAAAGGAAGTGAGTACAAACTCTGTTCTTCCAAGCGCCTCTCCTCTCTACTGGGCTTAGTCCTTAGAGGGAGTGCACCAAGCAGGACGTAAGCAAACCAGCCCTTTTGGCGCTTCGGCTGGGACCGTATGCTGAATGTTGGGGAGGGGATGGAGTCCCCGACGGTGGACGGACCACTTCAACTCGGTCCTTAGAACCGCCACAATTTGGTGCTTACCTCAGAACTAAGCCTTAAAGAGGACGGGTCCGTCCCCTCTCCTAGGCTTAGTCCAAGGGTGAGCAAACCGGTCCTTCTGGCGAAGCTACTGGACCAGCTGCACCACTTGCGTCAGTACTCTCCTATCGTACCAACCGAGTTGAAGTAAACCGTCGACCGTTGGGGGGCTCGCCTCGATCTTCCGGCTCCCGCCCCCACACGTCTCCCAGCTATATCGATTCCCAGCCGACACTACTCGTTCCACAAGGGCTAGATTCTGAGCTGCTCTTAGCTCCCAAGCAGCGGTATTTGAATGCCCCTCCAATGTCTCCCCTAAGGACATGAGCGCCCATTTTTTGTGTTGACTTGGGAGGAATCCCATCCGTGGAGCCTTTGCACTGTTGTAGCGCCTCTAACCACTACACACTATTTGTTTTCTTTCTGAAGAAAACTGACGAATTTCCAGATTTCAACCAAATTTATCGTTCTTGAAAAATGAATTATTTTGTTTCATTGCCATTTTTCTAATGCACCCAGAGGAAAAAATAGATCCATGCTTGCAGAAAATATGGCGACTCTCCCTCAGGGAAATCTAAGAATTGTCGTTTTTCAGGGACCAGCATCAAGATCAAATGTCCCAGGAAGAATTTCGACAAAAAGAAGATCTATTGGACAAAAAATGGAAAGCGAATCAGGAACGACGGTGAGAAAGAAAGCGAATTTTTCTGCTGGAAACTTGCACGACATTCAAAAGGGCAACATGTCTATCTGGTGTTGCCAATAGGATTATGGGCTTTTTCCACCGAGAAGCAGAATGGTCAAAAATAGCATGGGGCCGCTTGGAGAGTTGCATCTGAAAATGTGGAAATGCACGACCAAAACGTTCAAAAGTATATGTCAAAGTTCAGGCCAACAGGAAAGAGACAATAGAAATGATAATGTTGGTTTAGTAAGTCTTCAGATGCGCATGGAATTCGCTCCTGATGGGCTTTGCCACATCGCGATGCGCCCTGCGTGAATTAGATGCGGTCGTTGTTCGATAAGCATCTCAGCTAATAACATTTCTCCTTAGCATCTCCGGTGCGTACAACAATCACCAACAGAGCTAGGCCTTGTCGGCAGGGTGAATAACGGTCGAGGAATTCCTCGACCATCGCTCTCTGCTGTGCGAGAGTAGAGCCGATAGTGAATGTACGCGCGGAGAGCACAGACGGCTCGCGGGTGGCGAGAGTGAATATCCGCGCGCGAGAACGTAAAGGATCAGGCGAAAATCCTCGACGTGCCGTTGAGAAATTCTCTGATCTCTTACGTTTCGCGCCCGCGGATATTCACTCTCGCACGGCGGCTCAGGCAATTATTCGTGTAGCCGGTCTGGCGTTGACGCTCCAAACCTAAAATCACTACGCCCTCAAAGCGCAACCCTCATAGTGTAGTTATTTAAAGGATTCGCGATGTAGAAGAGGTTCAGTTATGAAGCTATAGGTGGGAGGTGGTCTGTAAAAGAGAAGGAAAGCAAACGAAACACCGATTACGCCCCGTACAGAGACCTCCCCTATTTCAGCACATTCCACCTTGGGATAGAGAAGAGGCGAATTGGACGAGTTTCACGAACCTAACTCTACTTGCTCCAGTGCTCAATGACATTGGGTCGCAAATTGAACCAGCTCTTCCAAGCGCGTGCGCAAAACCGACAGCGGAGGGTGGGGCTTGCGGACGAAGGTGTGAGTTGCAGGTCGGACGAGCTGCTTGTGCCTTTGTCGCGCACTTTCAAGCGGCAAAAGGGGTGCGACATCAACACTTGTCCGCCTGCCTACTACCCCGGGATGGAACAGGCAGAGCGCGCCGGAGCGTGCCTTAGATTGCGATACAACGTCCTGATTTGAACGATCGAGCATTTGTTTGGAGAGGCCTTGTTGGATCAGGCGATCCTTGGTGCAAACCGCTGTCGGCCTTGCCATTTCTAACCGTGGCAGTCACTCATCAGACTTCGGCCAGTAATCGTAAACCGCCAAAACTGTTCATGTGCAGACGCGCAGAGTGAGAGTCATGTGCAATCCCGCAGTGGCCCTTAGCCATGTCAGCTTTCTCTCTCCTTTACTATCCCGCAGGACCACTCCCTTTCGACTCGACTCTCAACTGTTGGATCGTATCTATCATTGTAGCGCTGCTTCAAGGGTGGTTTTCTAATACGATGGTGACTAATGTATGCAGTGAAAATGCGGGTTTGGGCGCGGATGTCCTATCTTCAGCTATCATGTCACGAGTTTCTTTCAATATAACGTTTTTTTCCAGCAAGGTATCAAAGTGTCGGTGCGAATGGGTAATCTTTTGTCTGTTAACGTCGATGAAGACGCCGGTGTGTACGAATGTTATACGGATTCATTGCAAGGAAACGTCACGCTTCGGTTCAAATATCGCGACGATGACAAGGTGAGAACAAGGCGCTGAATTGATATGTGCCACGAAATCTTCGGGCACAACCTTCCAATGATGACCATATTTTCAACGAGCGCCTTTCTTTTAATAAAGAAGTATTTTTATGAAGAACTTTCTTTTAGCCTAATCGTCTACGTCCATCTCAACTTCATAAAGGTCACAAAGGAAAGAACAAGAATGCATCGCTTTTTGAGGTAAATACTATAATATATTGAAATCCGAATTCAATGCATAATCAGCAGCTGGGAGTTTTGTTTTGATAAGGAATCTTGGAGTGCACCGCGCCTTCGACAACCCATCAGAAATATGAAGAAACCCGGGTGTGTGGCTATGAAACTGATTCTTAGTCTCGGCGATTTTCACCATCAGCTGGATCTCCTTTCCCTCCCATGACATATTTGTTGCCTGTTCACCAATGTGGGCGAGTTCGATGCAATGGTACATCGACAGAGCACCGCCAATAGCATTTTGATTACCATTCGCCTGACGATCATGATATGGGAATCAGGTCCTGGAGCCACCTACTCAGACCACCGTTAACGTTTGAGATAGCTTAAAGGCAGTGGGTACGATGTCCGAAAGGTGGAGCGGTCTACAACATCATTAGCCGCTCCTTGAGGGAAGGGTGCTGGAGGGATTGGTCGGGATCATGCTTCAGCGCCCTTCGGCCAGCGACGAACAATGACGTCACCAAAACCGCCCGCCCCTCCTCCATCGCACCCACTGCCTTTGAATTAAGCTATATCAATCTAAAAGGTTCAAAAGTCTATTTTGTTCACCACCTGTTCAGACAACTCTTTGTGTACGCCGAGCAAATATTCAGAATTTTGTGGTGAATGCTAGCAGGCTTGTGGCATTTGTCGCTCAAACATCATTACAATGAAAGTAGAATGCATGGCGCATCCAATATTGATCAATATCGGATGTTTTATCGTTTACAAATTATTTCAGTAATGAAGTTCCTTTCAGGCGATTCTTTCTGCTGGAAGTTATTCTGAGATGGCAAGGGAGTTACAAAAACACCGCGATACGATTCAAGCCCGTTGGGAGATGGGACACTGGACAGACTGCAAACAGGTCACATGTGGTGTTGCCGGTTACCAGGTGTGGCTATGTTATTTCCTCAGTGGACATAAAAGTAAAATATGTTGTTTGCTTGTAGTTTCATTCACTTTCATTTTTCCAGGCACGTGAAGTGACTTGCAGTGTATGTGATGGTGGACGGTGCGCGTCGAACGGGCGATCCACGGCTGGTGTACCGCATTAGCTTCACCTCGACCGCCTGAGACCAGACCCTGCCATAAAGAGGAATGCCCACGATGGTATGCGAGCGATTGAACAGAGGTTTGTTGAGGCGACGACAGCAACAAGAAAACTTAGGTAACGGCGGCAATCCTGTGCCCGTTCACTTCTCTTTTGCCCAGCTCACCCTTGCACGCTACTTTTAAGGAGATGAAACATCTTTTTCTTTAATCTACCTTCTTTATTCCGTTGCATGCAAGCTGCTAGACACTTGGGCAAGCACAGTCAAAGAGCATCAACCACACGCCCAGTTCATTAGGGACAGTAAGTCGAAATCCACTCTCAACTCTAGCAATACAGTGATGACCGAATTACGATATGGGGATGGTATTAGCTGGTTCTTGCATAGGATGTCCCACCTAGGTTCTACCCGAACTCGGTCCTACAGCCTTAGGTATCGCTATTACTACCAGTTCGTGCCTTTTTGTGAGTTGCGCTTCCACAACTTTAATTGGGTTTGGAAGTCGAACATTTTGGAGCTACTCCCATGTCATGGTAGACGTACCTATGAGGTGAATCATAGTAACGAAGCTGTCTCAGTTAAAGATGAAGAAGTGATAATCAAGGTGCAATATCTAGGATTTGAGGAATTACTATAGTATCATTCAAGATTCAAAAGAGCTGGATGTAGCTGGAAGGCCAAGAATATCTCATAGTAAGCCGTTTGTAGGTCCTGCTGTAAGGACTCACTGGAGTGCAGAAACTGCCATACCTGCATCTATAAATCTTGCACAGACTACCGCTAAATCTCTCACAAAAGGATACATTACTTGTGAGCTGGGCAACAATTTGAGGTTCTTGGAAACCAACACGAACATCTCCTTCCTCCTCCTCCGTCCCTACCCCCTCCACGCTTCACTACACTCTCCATACATAGCAAGTAGCCCCTTTGAGGTAGTTTTAATTTAAGAACATTGAACTATCCATAAGTTACCTAATGTACCTGCTTACCACCAG